GCCCGCATCCGCAGCACCGGCCGCCGGCACCCCACGTGGAGCCGGAGGACGCTCGGCCTGCCCTTATCAGGGGGGAAAAAAAAAAAAGAAAATCAGAGTTTTAAGGTCAGGAAGCTGCTTTCGGAGCATTTCGCGTCACTATTCTTTCCCCTCGACTCAACGCTGGTGTTTAATAGGGTCCGGTAACTCCAACCTGGTTTTATCCAGCTCTCAACCAAGCCGAGGGCTCCCTGAGTGTGGCGATACCCGTCTAAACCTCGCTTTATTCTTTTTATTTTTTTATTTATTTTTTTTTTCCCTACCCCCAACCCAGAAATTGGCCTCCCTTTCCCCCGCTCCCGCATCGGGAGGAGCAGGAACGCGCCTGGCCGAGCTCGCGCCGACTTCCAGCATCTGCTCGGCTGCACAAACCGTTGAAACGCTTCCAAAAAAACAACCTGAAATTGTTGGTTTAGGGGAGGTTTGCCAACGTTCCGGGCTCCCACTGAGCAGGATCGATCGCGTGTACCTTTGAGCTTGGAAGGATGCGGGCGCTCGGACGGTGTAAACAAGCCTCTATTGTGCTTGGCTGCGGGTGTTTACACCGGGAAAATCAGCGTCGGGGTCCACCCTGGGGCCAGGCTTCCTCCACGGCCCCCGCTTTTCATCCTGGGACACCGAGATGCGTTCAGGGAGAGTCTCAAACGCTCCGTAAATGAACAAAACTTATAAATAAACAAGCAAAACCGGCTGCGTCGGGTGGCTTCGTCGTGGCAGCCTGCAGAGGGAAACGGTGTAACTTGTCAGGCTAAAACTGGGTTTGGATTTAACGCTGAGAACGTGCTGGCCCCGCTGCTAAGTTTAGTTTCTGCAGCCTTGACTTGTATTTTAGGCTCCTCGACCTGTATTTAAGCGCCTGAGTAAACAGTCTGTTGTTCGCGTTGAGGCTGAGCATCTGCACGCCCGGCTTTTTGCAGGTCAGGCTGTTTTTCTTTGCCGGTTCATTCAGCTTGTAACTTAAAACGCGGCCTTAAAACCAAGCTTAAATGTGGTTTCAAATGACGCCTTTCAGGTAAAAGGCTTAGGGAAGGGTGTTAGTCACCCGCGTCCAGAGAAATGACCTTTTCCAGGGTGTCACTGGGCTGCCCGGGCTTGTAGCCGCTGCTTTCCCCATCACACCTTGTGGGTTTGTTGGATTTTAAAAAAAAAAAAATAAAAAAAAAATCTTCTAGCTTTTAATTGTGGAAGGCTTTTTGTTAGTTTTTATATTTAGGACCTTTTTCATCAGAGCCTGGTGACTCACAGAGGGTGAACCGGGTCGTGTGGCCCTCGCAGACGCTGCGGAGGAAAATCGTCCCTCACCAGACCCCTCTGTTGCCTCTCGGAGAGCAGCTGCACAGCGCTTTGGGGGAAAACTTGGCGGAATTGGTCACTGGAGCCCCAAAAAAGGGGCGTTTGTCTGGAGGGTGATAAATATAACCGCAGCGGTTCCACGAGGCAGCGGTGCACGTGAAGACCGACAGCCCTGTCTTGGCCACACGGCCCACGTGCCAGAAAAAAACTGGGGAGATTTTGCTCGAAATTAGGGAGAATTTACTCAAAATTAGGGAAATTTTGCTCAAAATTAGGGAAATTTTGCTCAAAATTAGGGAGATTTTGCTTGGAATTGGGGAGATTTTAGTTGAAATAAGGAAAATTGACTCGGAATTAGGGAGATTTTGCTCGAAGTGTGGGAGATTTTGCTCGCAATTAGGGAGATTTTACTCAAAATTAGAGAGATTTTGTTTGAAATTAGGGAGATTTTACTCAAAATTAGGGAGATTTTACTCAAAATTAGGGAGATTTTACTCAAAATTAGAGAGATTTTGCTTGAAATTAGGGAGATTTTACTCGAAATTAGGGAGATTTTACTTGAAATAAGGAAAGTTGTCTCGGAATTAGATTTTGCTTGAAGTAGAGGGAGATTTTGCTCGAAATTAGGGAGATTTTGCTTGAAATTAGGGACATTTTACTTGAAATAAGGAAAATTGTCTCGTAATTAGGGAGATTTTGCTCAAAGTGAGGGAGATTTTGATTGAAATTAGGGACATTTTACTTGAAATAAGGAAAATTTTCTTGGAATTAGGGAGATTTTGCTCAAAATTAGGACGATTGCTCGCAATTAGGGAGATTTTCTTGGAATTAGGGAGATTTTGCTCACAGTAAGATTGTATTCACAATTAGGGAGATTTTTCTCAAAATTAGGTAGATTTTGATCAAAATGAAGGAGATTTTACTTGAAATAAGGTAAATTTTCTTGGAATTAGGGAGATTTTTCTCGAAATTAGGGAGATTTTTCTCGAAATTAGGGAGATTTTGCTCACAATTAGGGAGATTTTGCTCGGAATTAGGGAGATTTTTCATCAAAATTAAGGAGATTTTACTTGAAATAAGGAAAATTTTCTCTTAATTAGAGAGATTTTGCTCGAAGTTAGGGAGATTTTGCTTGAAATTAGGGAGATTTTACTTGAAATAAGGAAAATTTTCTTGGAATTAGGGAGATTTTGCTCACAATTAGCAAGATTGTACTCGCGATTAGGGAGATTTTGCTCAGAATTAGGGAGATTTTGATCAAAATTAAGGAGATTTTACTTGAAATAAGGAAATTTTTCTCGGAATTAGAGAGATTTTGCTCGAAGTTAGGGAGATTTTTCTTGAAATAAGGAAAATTTTCTCAGAATTAGGGAGATTTTCCTCACAATTAGGGAGATTTTCCTCGCAATTAGGGAGATTTTGCTCACAGTTAGCAAGATTGTATTCGCGATTAGGGAGATTTCGCTCGAAATTAGGGAGATTTTGCTCGAAATTAGGGAGATTGTGCTCAGGGAAGGGGCTGGTTTGGTTTCGCCAGTGGCCGGCTAACGAGCCCGGAGGCACGCAGGGTCAGTGGTTTTTACCCCCAAGGTTCCTGCTCAGTGTTTTAACTTCGGACTAACGCCAAATACCTGCCAATTCCCCCGTGTCCAGGCGGGTGCTTTCTGCCGTGTGTTGGTTGTAGCCCTCGTGGGGGCAGTTGGCCAAACTCCGGCTCCAAAACCGGCTCAAGATTAATCGAAACGCTGGCGAGATCACCCCGAAATCCCTGGGGTGCCGGCGTGCGGCGCATCGGAGGATACAGATTCACGACAAGACCGAAAAGAGTCGAGGAAATTGCCCGCCCGGGTGGTCACGGAAGCTCGTGTGGGATTTTCTTGGGCAGGTGGGAGCCCCAAAAGGGCTCCCCGGGTTGCCCCCGCGTTGCGTTAAATAAAAGCAGGAGGGAAAACGCATCTTCAAACCCAGAGCGGAAGGAACGGGGGATGAGCAAGAGCTGGGAGGGGGCGCGGATCGCAAACGCAGCCGCGAGGCTGGGGTGGGCTGTAAAAACCTGCCCTCGCTCCAGGCGTTGCCTTTTCGGCCCACGTGCGGCGAGTTGTGATTTTGCCAGAGCGCGGGGTCGGTTCCCAAAGAAGGGGCTGCTCGTTTTTCATCGTTTTTTCAGCTTGCTGCCTCTCCGTCCTCTCCCAAGCTTTATTCTTCTCCTTTTTCTTTGCCCGCCCCAGGCCTTCTAGCCGGCCTCACCATGTTCGGCAGGAAGAAGAAACGCATCGAAATCTCTGCCCCCTCCAACTTCGAGCACCGAGTCCACACCGGCTACGACCAACAAGAGCAAAAATTCACGGGGCTGCCGCGGCAATGGCAGGGCATCATCGAGGACTCGGCCAAGCGCCCCAAGCCGCTGGTGGACCCCGTCTGCATCACCACCATTCAGCACAGCTCCCAGAAGGTAGGCAGCTCTGCCAGCGTGGCCACTGGCCCGCTCAGGGTGGGCCGGTGATGTGGCTTTTGGGGCCGAAAAGCCAGGTTGGGGATCGCCCGGGCTCCGGTGAGGCGGCGGTTCGGTCTCTCTCTGACGGGAGCGGCGCGTCCCCCACGGCCGCTCGGCTGCGTGAGATGGGGACCACCCCACCACCGCCCGCACGATGGGAAAACCTCTCCCGCATCCTCCCGGCAGCTGGAGAAAAAAAAAAAAAAACAAACCAAAAAAAAAAAAACCACGCGGCAAGAAGACGCCAAGGAAACGGTGTCTTTTCCTTCCCATCTCATCCCTTCCCCATCCCTGTGTTTCCCCAAGCCGCCATTATGTCGTTTTTTTAGTCTTGGCTTGTCTGCTCCCCTCAAATCGAGGCCATTCCTCCACCTTCCCCTTCGTTTGAGGTCCCGGCGCTGGCGTTCCTGAGTAGCCGGTGGCTTCGCCGCCTCGGCTGGTTTCCCTCGGACAATGGGGCAGCTCCAGCGGCCGTGAGTAACGCCGGCTGCGGCCCTTCCGAGCGAAGCCGCCGGCGCCGTTCTGCTGACCCAAAAAGATGCTGAAACCCCCTCGGCGCTGCCGTAGCCCCGCAGCGGCGGCGCCCGACCGGGCTTTGATGCGGAGGCGCAGGCTCGAGGAAATAACCCGCTCCTCGAGGCAGTGAGAGGAGGAGGAGGAGGAGGAAGAGGAGGAGGGGATATAAATAGCCGAGGACGCTGCTCGCGCTCGCTTCCCCTGTGCGGAGATGCTTGCTGCGGAGGAAGGCATCCTCCTCCTCTTCCTCCTCCTCCTCCTCCTCGAGGCTGAGGCTGGGGGTGGCTCCCGCTGTCCCCTCGCCTCTTGCTGCGTGGTTGAGCCCTCAGAGCCTCGAACCCACGAGGGCTCATATCCCAGTTTGATACTGGGAGCCAGGGAAACCCCACCCTGCGCAGCCCACAGCTCCCCAGTTCACGTGTCCCACCCGG